TCACCCAAATCCTAATAAAAAAAAAAAAAAATCACTACACTGCTTTGAGAATTGGTTTCCTCATCCCTAAAATATGGATCAAAATAATATTATCTATTCCCCTGGGCTCCAAGAGGATGAAGAATAATTGTGCCTTCATACCAATAATTACTCAGCTATTAATTGTTATCATTTATCAGCACTATTGTGAGCACTACTATGAACTTAGTAAGTTTAGATAGTCAATAATTTTTAAATGGCATCTGCAAAGAAGCTCTCAGTTACAGGCCAAGACCACAGGTTCCTAAGAGACAGAGCCCAAATGCTTCAGAGACAAGCCTTCTCATTTTATGTTTCCTTCTCTGTGCCTTTCTGGGCAAAGCGAAGCCATTTATAGTTTATGTTTTGCTATGTTAACTTCTTTTCAATGTTAGATACTCAAGGAATACATTATGCAGCGAGTACACCCATGAGAGGGGTAACATTCAAAGTGCTCAAGATGTGTATGTGTTGCTGTACCCTTTCTTTGCCTGAAATGTTTGGGTTGCTGTATTGCTCTTTCTTACACATCTTTGAACTAGTACTAGACTTGATCCTTTGTTGGCTGTCACCAGCTCTCAAACACCAAATCTTGCTTTGTCCTTTCCCCAAGTTCAAAGACATCTTTGGTCCCTATTCCTGGTGCTCTTCATCTGAGGCAGTCTGGCCCCCTTTTCATCTCCTCCACTCAGCCCCTTTGCCTGTGCCTGTGCTCATCTGGCCACCTGTAGTGCCCGCTGTCTGAGTTCTCCAAATTTTAATGTGTCCTCTGTGCCTTCTAGAAAGCCACCCCCAAGGTTTCACAGGCTGTTTTTATCAGTGAGCTCATAGAACCAAGTTTTACTTACTTGATAGGAGTAAATTCTAGGCCATGTGGAAATCTTGATTTCTAAGTTTTACCTTCCCGTACATGAAGTAGAAACACTTGTTTGTGTATGCCTTAACTAAGTAAGAGTTCTAGGGTGGCACAGATAGTTAACATGGTTGACTGCTAACTGAAAGTTTGGAAGATCAAGTCTACCCAGAGGCACCATGGAAGAAAGATCTGGTGATCTACTTCTGAAAAATCAGCCATTGAAAATCCCATAGACCACCGTTCTACTCTGACACACAATGGTTGCCATGAAAAAGAATTTACTTTATGGCACCTGGTTTGGTTAATAATTACAAGGAAAAATACCCACTGGTCAGTTCCAGTATCCTCAACAGTAAATGAGAGGTCAGGAAGGGGAAGAGAAGTTACTCAAGGTCACATGGGAGCTAAGCTACAGAGTGGTATCTCCTAACCCCTAGCCCAAGGCTCTTTCTCTTCCAGGGAGGAGCGTAGGTCAGGGAGATGTCACTGCCCTTATCCTGAACTCCTTACCTCAGAGTTTTGGCCGCTCTTGTATAGCTCAGGCAATGCCAGGAGCGTCTCTGAAGAGATGTCTTTATCGAGGACTCCAAAGAGGAGAGGAGGCAAGGAGGTGAAGAAGAGATTGAAGAATATCATTTGCCAGTAATCGATCATGGTGGAGCCAGAGAAACCACAGAAGAACTGATACCAGAAGAGCAGGTTGACGTAGCACTGCAGGCAGAGGGCAGTCGGTCATTGATCGCTGCTTAGAAGCTTAGAAAAATCACCTACACTGGGAGCATCAGTTTCCTCATCCGTAACATGCAAGGTTGTGTATGGTTTACCTGCTATTACTGCTACTACTACTACCACCAATATTCTTCAGGACCTGTAGGGGACTCTACCAACTTGGTAAGGAAAATATGTTATGATGACTAAGAGTATAGGCTTTGGAAGCAAAGAGGCCTAGTTTTAAATCCCCAGTTCTGTCACATAGTAGCATGGTGAACTTAGGCAAATTGCTAAGCCTTTCTGAACATCATTTTGTCATCTGTTAGATGGGAATAATAGTACCTAGACCATGGCATGTGATAACTAAATGGTAGTACTTATTACTGGTAGTATAGCAATAGAAAGGGATGTCACTGAGGAAGACTGAACTGTGATTACAAAACCTGGTGAGAAGAGGACTGCATGAGAAGATTTACCTCACAATACTTTCCTAATGGCCACGTAACTCAGGAAGGAAACAATTGAATCTCCCACCTAAATATTGTTTTATGCTTTCTAATGTTCCTTTTAGGAGCTCTGTAGTATAGTGCCTAAGGCACTTGACTGTTAGCCAGAAGGCTGGAGGTTCAAACCCACCAGCCACTCCTTGGAAGGAAGATGAGGCAATCTACTTCCATAGTGATACTGCTTCGGAAACCCAAGGAGGGGTCGCTATGAATTGGGTCCGACTCGACGGCACATAACAAAAGCAACAACAATGTTCCTTTTACCCACTAGCCTTGGAAGAAAGATGGGGCACTCTGCTTCTGTAAAGATTTACAATCTTGGAAACCCAATGGACATCACTATGAGTCAGAAAAGACTTGAAGGCAGTGAGTTTGTTTTTTTGCTTTTTATCTACTCAAGGTCTCCCCACCTGTGAGATAGTCTGTTCACTATTATTGTCCCTAACATATTGTGGTGTGGTTTGGTGTCTTGTCCATCAGGGTCAGTTGGGCAGCTGGTGCTGGAGTTAGGACCTGAACTTCTTAGTTTTCTGTAGCTGAGGCACACAGAGGTAAAGGGTCTTGTAAGAAATCTTTCAGCAGGTTTATACTCATTGTAGAATTTCAGTTCCTAATGGCTGGTCCAGTGTTATTTTGAACAGGCTCTCTGTTTGTTATAATTATTATTCATATTATGTTGTTTCCAATATTCTTCCAAGTCACTGCTTCTTTCTGATTGATTAAGTTAAGGGTCTTCTGGTTCCCATATGTGCATTGTATCTTGACTGTTCTCTATGGGGATGCTTGACAGGAAATGTTTTCTTAAAATGTCTTTTCCCCTATACTAGTGCTTGTTGGGAGCTCTGCTTGTTGATTTTTTTTTTTTTTTTTTTACTATTAGAAACAGTGCTTTGATAAACATTCTTGTACTTTTTTTTGGTTTTTAGTGCTTGTTAAAGGAGCTCTGCTGGTGTAGTGCCTAAGGCATTTGACTGCTACCAGAAGGTTGGTAGTTCAAACCCAAAAGATTATTTACTGCCTCGGTATCCCAAAGGGGGTGGCTATGACCCAGAATTGGCTTGATGGCACTGAGTTTGGTTTCTTTTGAGGACCTGTTAAACTTTAATACTCGTGTGAATCACCTGAGTATCTTGTTAAAAAAAAATGCAGATTCTGACTTAGGCCTGGGGTAGAGCCTGAGAATTTGCATTACAAACCACAAAGCTGGCAGTTCAAACCCACCAGGCACTCCTCAGAAGGGAGGTGGGGCAATCTACTTCTGTAGTGATACCATCTTGGAAACCCAAGAAGAGGTGGCTGTGAGTCAGATCTGACTCAACAGCAGTGGGTGGAACAAGCTTCCAGGTGATGCCAATACTACTCGTTTGAGAACCACGTTTTGAATAGCAGGATTTATTTAGATCTGGAACTGACGAACTATGGCCTACTGACTAAATGCAGCTGTAAATAAAGTTTTGTTGAAATATAGCCACTCTGGTTTGTTTACATATTGTCTATGGCTGCACACTACAATAGGAGCTCTGGTGGTGTAGTGCCCAAGGCATTTGACTGCTAACCAGAAGGCTGGAGGTTCAAACCCACCAGCCGCTTCTCTGAAGGAAAACTGGGCAGTTTATTTCCATAGAGATACCGCTTCCAAAACCCAAGGAGGGGTCTCTGTGACAGGATTGAGTAGTTGCAACACAGGCTGTATGGCCCTCAAAGTCTAAAATATTTATTATCTGCCCCTTTACGGCACATAACAACAACAACAACTCTGCAGAATATGTATGCTGAGCAAATAATCTGAGAAGCTGGACTATATGAAGAAGAACATGGCATCAGAATTGGTGTAAGGCTCACTAACAACCTGAGATATGCAGACGACACAACTTTGCTTGCTGAAAGTGAGGATGAGTTGGAGAACTTACTGATGAAAACTGAAGACTGCAGTCTGTAGTATGGATTACACCTCAATATAAAGAAAAAAAAATCCTCACAACTGGACCAATAAGCAGCATCACAATAGATGGAGAAAAGATTGAAGTTGTCAAAGATTTCGTATTGCTTGGTTCTACAATCAACACCAAAGGAAGCAGCAGTCAAGATATAAAAAGATGTATTGTGTTGGGCAAATCTGTTGCAAAGACCTCTTTCAAGTGCTGAAGAGCAAAGATGTCCCTTTGAAGACTAAGATGTGCCTGACCCAAGCTATGGTGTTTTCAGTTGCCTCATATGCATGTGAGAACTGGACCAAAGAAGAATTGATGCTTTTGAGTTGTGGTGCTGGTGAAGAATGCTGAAAGTACTGTGGACTGCTAAAAGAATTAACAAATCTGTCCTGGAAGAAGTGCAGCCGGAATGCTCCTTGGAAGAAAGAATGGCCAGACTTTGTCTCACCTACTTTAGTCATGTTGTCAGAAGGGACCAATCTCTGGAGAAGGATGTCATGCTTGGTAAAGTGTAGGGTCAATGAAAGAGGGGGAAGTCCTCAACAAGATAGATTGATAAGGTGGCTGCAGCAATGGGCTTGGGTATAGTAGGGATTGTGAAGTTGGCCCGGGACTGGGCAGTGTTTTGTTCTGCTGTACATAGGGTTGTTATGAGTCAGAGACAACTTGACAGCACCTAACAACACAAAAAGTTTGCTGAGTACTGATTTTGACTGTAAGGTTCATGAGGGTAGGGATCACATCTATCTTGATCCCTGCTGTAATTCAGCCTCACTGCCAATGAGCTGATTCTGACTTATAGCAACTCCGATTGGGTTTCCAAGGTTATAAATCTTTATGGAAGCAGATCACCCCATCTTTCTTCCACAAAGTAGCTGGTGGGTTCACATCTGTGACATTTTGGTTAGCAGCCAAATGCTGTAACCATTACACCACCAGAGCTCCTTTAGTATTCTTCCATGCCTGGATGGAGCAAATGGATTGTGCTCAACTGCTAATGGAAAGGTTGAGGGTTTGAGCCCACCCAGCGATGCTATGCAAGAAAGGACTGGTGATCTGCTTTCACAAGATTACAGCCAAAATATCCCTGTGGAACTCAATTCTATTCTGTAACACATGGTATCTCCATGAGTTGGTATCTACTTGACAATAACATGTTTGTTTTTTAGTTAATTACTATTCTTTCTGACACATAGCAGATATTCAAACATTATTTGAATAAATGAGATCAATCTTAATCATTCTATTGCTTTAATACTCATCTTAGAGTTTTAACATTAAAAGAGCATTTGCTTTCTCCTGAGGCAGAGGTAGGATCTTTCTTGTTTTCCACTCATCCTGTCTGACTCAATCTCCTTGCAATCTTCAATTATGTTTTTTGAAGATCACAAAAAATAACTTACTGATAGTAATATTTAGCCTTCACCTATAGGATATTGTATTTATTTGTTTTGGGCATTGTTTTAAGGATCCCTGGTGTACAGCGGTTAAGTGCTTGGCTGCTATTGGAAAGGTGGTGGTTTGAATCCACCAGCTGCTCTGCTGGAGAAAGATGTGGCAGTCTGCTTCCATGAAGAGTACAGCCTTGAAAACGCTATGGTCCAGTTCTCCTCTGTCCCAGAGGATCGCCAACTTGATGCCAGTGAGGTAGGTTCTGTCTAGCTGTAGTCTTTACACCTCAGAGGGTGTATGCAATGATGGTATGGCTGAGATCAGATGCCTGTTCTTTCTCTCCAGAAGCTATAGTGCAGTAATTAATTCATTGTTCAAATTTCAGAGCAGGGAGGTCTTTAATCCCCTCTGAAATTGGTTTCGGATGTGGAAGTCATAGTTCTCCACCCTCTAATTGCAATGGGGAGATAATGCTGCATCAGTATCACAATTTTGAGCACAGCATTGGGCTGGAAATAAATATCATTTAAGCTTTGAAAGCATGGCTGGCTGGAAACGTTTCCTTTTCTATTTCACAAAATTAATACAGAGAAGAGATTGTGGTTATTCAAAAGAATGATTCCTTTGGAGGCAAAAAAAAAAAAAAAAAAAAAAAAAAAACCCCACAAAACT